CATGGGAGAAGGAGGGAAGCGAACAGCTGTTGTCAGTCAGCTGACAAAATAAGACACAAACCCTGAGGAGATGCATGATTTTATAGTTTACAAAGTTAAAATGCAAATAAATAAACAGTAATTGAATGCCCTGCTACATTTGTCATTTGTTATTTCATATACACTATACACACAACCACAATTTATACAATTGTAAAGATAATCGTGTTCATATAAACACTATAAATAAGGACTTCTCCCTCAATCCCCAGGTCTGAATGCAGACTCAGTGCAGCAGGTCTCTTGCCTTGTCTATTTTGACCATTAGCCCTGCTGGTAATCTGGAGAAACACAGCAGCACGGCGATGTGCCTAATGTGAACAAACACCTGATAAAAGACAACGTCCGCCACTCTCCAATGCTTGTACTGCTCTTCCGACAAAAATGCTTGCTGAACACAAACAGCTTTGATGTATCGGCCCTGATGAGATCGTGGGGAAAAACATGCAACAAACCCGTGGATCATCGAAACAAACACATACGACCCTTAATCAACGGCTAAATACTGTGCCGTGGGTCCATGGATGCGGTTTCACCCAGTCATCAACGTGTCTCACAGCTTGGCACTGGCAGGTCTGCCTTGCCTTCGGAGAGCACGCAGAGTCATGAATAATTAAGAAGCAGGCTCTACTCATAGGATAAGAAAACTCCGCTATGACTAACAATGAGAAACCGACGCGTCATCTTTGCATTTGCAGTTTTGCGCAAAGTCATCGATGTTGATCTGCCCCAAAAATCCTTTTAAACCCGGAAGCTGAAATTAGCTGACAAAAGCTCAAAATTATCCAGTTTACCGGTTTACAGGTGCTAACATTGTCTTAACTGATGCTCAACACACACAAAGCTGTTAAAATCTCAAAAAAGGTACTCGAGGGTTTTTTGAACCTTTAAATGCAACAAAGATACAAGAAATGGTCTTTGACCCAAGAAGTGTTTCTAAACACAGGCCAGTGATCATTAAAGACTAGGGGTGTAACGATTTATCGTTGTACGATTTATTGCGATGCAAAAATGTCTCGATATGCATCGTGGCGTTATGACGATTTGATTACGATATGACGTCCGTTTTCTCTTATTAGTTGAGCTGTTTGCACGTGAGCTACGTTCCACCTGCTGTCGCACGTGAGTTCAGATTGCAGCAGCAGTAATGTTAGCAGACCAAGATGAGTGGAGCTGAAATAGAGGATGGCTCATCCTCTCAAAATCAGACGTCTGGCAACATTTCGGTTGTACAGTCATTGCTTTAGACTCGTCCGCTTTTTGACACGCATACTGGGTCAAACATCCTAAGTTTTAAAGTCTTCACAGTGATTTACATACTTTGCACAGCGACATGGATCCATGGATCCAACCTCCTAATGGTGTTGAAAGAGTCACATACTGTATTTATAAGGTACAATTCACCCTAAAATATCATTCTGTCTTCATATAATGATGTATTGGCGGCCACAAAATCACACATGACGTGAGCTAACCGTAAGCTGTTACTACAGAGGGCGGATGATAGACGCGCGCGTATGGCAAGCCGTTTTAGCATTTAAACCTTTGTTCTGACTATCCTTAAATATATTTAA